AACAAGGTAAGAGAATATTTCAGAAGTGTAAAATTAAAAACAAAAAAAAAGTAAAAAAGCCTAAGTTCGGGCGAAGCTGAACATCAAATACCCGGCGAACATTTCCGAAAACTGGTATGTTCAGTTAGACTTAATGAGATAAAGTTTTATAGTTATAGTTTCTTTGTAAGAATTATTGTATCACTTTACTGTTATATGAAAAATGTGCATAATTTTAGTAGGATTTCAAAAAATTCCGTCTAGCTTTTATGTGTCAAGTACAATAATTGTGGCGAGTTTGGTACAAATTCGTGGAACGGTTGCCGTAATATACATATGTGGTCAGTCACAAGCGGGCGGTGACACGCCCATTTTCCAAAAATTTATTATAAACGTATTTCTTGCTAAAGTTTTTTGCAAATATCAATTTTGAATAAATTCGCTTCAGTGTTTACCGATTTATCCAAGATTTCCTATTTCTCTAAACTACCGTTGTATGGGATGTGGGCGTGGTTATTGTCCGATTTTATTTTATTTCTTTTTGCCGTTTTGTATGTTTTAACAGGACCAACAACTGTGCCAAGTTTATCAGAAATTGGTGATGAGGTTACCGTGATATGTATACATATTTAACCATAAAACGCCGGGGCTAGGCCCATTTTCCCAAAAGTCTATAATATTCTTATTTTTTGCGCAAATATCATTGTAAATATCAATTTTGAGTGAAAAAGCTTCTGTAGTTACGTTCAAAAGAAGTACACGTATCAAGTTTTGTTAAGATATCCTAAAATTTACTAGAGTTATCCTGCGCGCAGACGGACGGAGATTTTGGTGGTATTTTCAAATCTGTCTACATTGGTAAATATTTTAGCGGAAGTCTAAAAACATAATATATTTTGCAATTCCGGTGGAAAACCCCCACTTTTTTTTTGTGAGGCCCCCTAATGTAAGCATATTCTAGTTTTTATGGGAAGCTCTTAATCAGAGGCTAATATTTATATACATGGGTGTCTGCGAAGAAACGAATATCATACTCAATGGCGTTGCTTCTCGAACACTGCTGAATGTATGTATGTACATACGCATGGACATATGAACGTGTGAACACTTGAATTAATACACACAGTAGCATCTATAGTGTTTTTCGAAAGATTTTCACCCGAATATTGGTGTCAATAACCCTCAAGTTGCATTTTATCCACTCACTTCGCTTATACTATCAACGGCGGCTGCACTTTGGGAGACAAGAATATCCGAGAAATGGGCAATCTTTATGGGTAATTATAGGTTGAGTACACACACAGCCACTTACTAACTTCATCATTCGCCCCAACGTGAAGTGGAAAGCAGTGAAGTGCAAGTGGAAGCCTTAAAGAGCGATGTGAGGAATTAAAGGTATGTTAGCATAATTAAAAATTTAATCAATATATGATATGATGGCATAAATAAGTACATACATATATAGTATGTATGTACAGTAGAATTGCCCTTATTTGGAAAAGTGTCCAATTTCTCCGTCTCGCCCCAAGAAATATGCGAACAAATTAAAAAATTTTAGGCGAATTGGGAAAAATTTAAAGTGAAATTAAGATTTATTACACAGTGATGACGAAAATAACTTAACATAGCAGTAAGTTGGTGTTACAATGAATAAGTATGCAATTTAAAAAAGATATTCTATAGCAAAGTTCTTTTTAATACCGTTATTTTTTTGTATATGTAAAGCTTCTTTCTTGAAATTCTTCAATGAGATTCCAGTTCAGAAAATTTCTTTTCCAGTACTTTTGTTTCAAAATAATTATCCTTAACTGCGTGTATACAAACAATAAGAACAGATACTTCGAATCTAAAAATAACAATAAAATACCAAATTGTTTGTGTACTAATCTCCCACGCTACAAGGATCGCCTGAAGCTTATAGATTTGCTGAAACTTCAGAGTCGTAGATAGGTGTTTGGAGTTCTTTTTTTTAATTAAGCTAATGAACGGGATGGTCAGTAGTCCTTTCTTACTGAGTGAGATAAATTTTTGTATCTACTCCTACCTATTGTTAATCAAACTTTAAAATGCATCATGCTTTTCGGTGTTTATGGCAAGATTTCAACAAACATTTTGATTGCTTCGACACATCTGAATCTCTTTTTGTAATAAAGAAAACTTTGCTTAACAACTTAACTAAATAAAGTAATATCTTTAACCGGCGAACAGAAAAATTACACAATTTTTATGACTGCTTAGTACTCATTTGAAACAATTGTGATGGCTTCGTATATTTTCGAGGCCGCGTAAAAAAATTTAAGCATGGATCGGAAACTCCGCCTTTCCGACCACGCCCAACAGTTCGTCCACAGCGCGGAACGCAAACTCCACCTGCCTCACATACACAGTAATGACGGACAAATGAATATATATGATTAGTATACCCTGTAATATACATAATATATGTATATGTAAATATCTATGGAAGTGTAAGAAAAAATTTTCTATAGATAATAAATAATAAAAAAAAACAATAAGTAATGAAGAGTTCTTTACTATAATTTGCAACACAATATATTAAGTAATTATAAGAACAACTTTACATATGGGTATTTCCTGGGTTACGGACGCGACATTCGTACGACTTTAGAGTTAAATAAATCATACGAAAACTGAAGTCACTTGTAAAAAAATTTGCTGTTGTGTAGCTTTTATACCGTTCTATGGTTCACAAAAAACTAGGTGCGTNAAAACTCAGCGAATCGTGTAAGGATTTCCTTTATTAAACATTCTTTAAATAAAGTCTAATTATGGACCGTCACAACCAATTCATTTTTAATCAGAAGCAATTTGTTGTTGATTTAATTTTGAATTAAAATCTGGTAACGGACGCGACATGTCGGATGCGACAGATTTTCCCCCCATACAATATTTTTACTAGTAACACATACTAAATTTAATTTTTTATTTAATTTTTTTAGTTCTTCTCTCCACAGTTTCCCGTTTTCAAAACCTCTTTTCGCCATCTGAATACGAAATATAAAGTTATAAAGCCGTTTAAATTCATTTACTTGCATTTTTGGTTTACCTTTTTTGGGAAATGCCCATATGCGTTCAAACACGTTTTAGAATATCGGAATCATCAAATGAACGGACATCAGAAGGTATATATTTATTTAAAGTACATAAATATCAACTTTGTTTTGTACAACTTAAAATGTATTTGATGTTGAATTGTAATGCTAAATAATATAAACATACTAAAAGCGCGTGAATTGTAAATAGCACAAGCCCTTCTTTACATTTCAAGAAAGCATTGATTCAGGCACTTTTTCGGCCCTTCTTGGGTAAGCCTCGCTTCACTTAATAAGGCCTACCTAAATTATCTTAACAAAGACGCATATTCATAGTCTCACTTCCAATTAAAAACTAATTAAGTTCCAATTTAAAATTCTTTTTTATTTTTATTCGTAGTTGTATTTCGGACATAACTACGGCGACCATATTTATGCGAGCCGAATACGGGACAAAAAATAATTTTGCTAATTTTTTCCATAAAAGCTAACAGATCTTAACACCTTCTTAAATGATCTTAGATATATGTATTAGCCCTGAAACATCAATATTATAGAAACATCACAAATTGGTAGGATATATTTCTCGATATTTTTACTCCACAAAATTTTTTACAAGTTCCATTAAATTTTTGTACGATCAAGTGCAACGCATATTTTTCATACAAGTTAATATGCTCGACAATTTGTTGATAGGGAAGCAAATGAGCAGCACGTTGCACTTGCACTTTATTATACTCAATTTTAGAGAGGTACAAAACTGCAACCATTTTTTTTTTCTAAAGGTTCTGATTAAACACTTTGAAATTTTGATGAAAGTTTCCAGAATTAATTCTCATAGTTTTTGCACAAAGTCGGAAATTTGTATTTATACGGGTTTTGTCAGGAAAAGTTTTACTTAAAAAAAATAATAAACATTAAAAAAACAAAAGAAAAATTGCCGAACCTTGCTAAAATGTAGAATCCTAATTTATATTTTGTTCACTGTATGTGTTGCTCGATACGAAGCCAAGGCATTCAGATTTGAAAATAATAACTGTATATGGAGAATGTTACGATTATATTCCACATCATTTAAAATAAGTTCATAGACATGCAATTTTAATGAGCTTTTAAGGCATCGAAATACCGAACCCCGAATACGGGACAAATACAGGACATCAAAAGAAATACAGAACATTTGGCGTCCCGTATAAAATCAATTAATTACCAGGACGATTGNTCAATTAATTACCAGGACGATTGGTAAAAAAAAAATCATATTTTAAAAAACTGAAACCTCGCTTTATAATTTCCATTTGTACTGTCATCAGGTATGTAGCTTAAGAATAGAAATCGCTGCATCTTTTAGGCGCATCAATATTACATAGTTACATCTCGAGCTAATAAGAGTGAGGTAATAAAAAGAGGACTGTCCCGTATAATACAGAACGGATGGTCACCGTAGACATAACTGATGCAGGGGCTTGAAATAGTTGAATATGCGCCAATATCTACTATATGTAAGCTTTTGGTAAACGATACTGCACGTTATATTGGCCACACCCCGTTAAGGTTACAAAATCATTTTCCTATATTAGGCAAATGCATCTTGAGCCAACATTCGATTAAGGATAACTTTCAACATTCCAACCAGTTTACCATAAACACCAGTAAGACAAATAAAATATTCTACCATTCACTTACCTTGATTTTCATTACGTAATTGGATGGCACAAAACCAATATTGCCTTTCATGCTAACTACTTGCCACCAGTTTCTTTGGCGAGCAGAAGTCTGGTACAATATAAAGTATTCCGCCACCAGTTTCTTTGGCGAGCAGAAGTCTGGTACAATATAAAGTATTCTCCTTCATCGAAACTTATGGTTTTGGGATAGACCGCCTGGAAGTCATAAAGTGCTTTCAGCATTTCGATGCTTTCTGCATGGATGAACACGCGATTCCATGAAATGGAAACAACGAAAAAAGAAAAACAGGATGACATTAAATGGGGTAGGTATATAAACTTATTATTTAGGTTAATATTTATAAACACACAGTATTTAGGCAAATGTAGCAGCGATATGTAGATAAATACACACAATCGAATTAACAAAAGCACGTCAGCAGCAGAAGCTGCGCCTCAAGGCACTGAAGTCAATTGTCCCAATTTGAAGCTTCAAACACATTTGTTGGGGCTGCAAGCGGGAAGCGTGCAGAATGCATCAACAAGGCAGTGGAAAGCGTGAAACTGCCAAAAATGCGGATAATGCAATTGTCACCATCACAACCACATTAATTGTCAGTACTCATGCGACCCTCTTGCTGGATAGCTTTACACCATCTGCACCATTATTAGCTATGCTTTTATTCATTTTGTCGTTTTCTTATTTATTAAACACTTACCCATTTTCTAGCCAAGGACGTTAATTTGATGATTCTGTTTTTTTTTTTTACATTNATATATATATAATATTTTACTAAGTTTGAAATATTCTGCCTAGATTTTTGAGCAAAATAACTTTTCCAAATATCACACACAAACCGATATGAAGGCAAGCCCAGAATGCCAGAAATTTTACCCACCCATTTCGGTCCAAAAGGATGAAATTGGGAATCAAAATAGAGAAGAACAAATCAAAACAAAATGTCAAACTAGAATCGCTAGGGTGGCAATATACGATTTTCAGTGGAGGTAAATATTATACTACGTTTATAAAAGTCCGGCCCCAAGGATTTCCTATTATAACCAGTCTGTCTTATTATGAGTTTCATTTTCCGAAGAACGGGCTCGCGTTTGACTTTCGGTTTCCATCATGCCATGTATTTTGTTGTTGTTTGGTCTAGGTTCAGACAGAGAAACTTTTTTCGCGACAACTCGTTACTTGTGTGAGAGGGAGCGTCGAGGAAGGGGGAAGGGTACTCTCGTTCGTCTGAGCAATTCTAGTTGGCCGTTCACAGCTGACACCCAGATTTGTGTACAAAAG